GGGGGGGGGGGGGGGGGGGGGGGAGTAAAGTACCTGTCGGAAATACACTTTCAGTGTAGGAAAATTGTAACTTCTGACAAGGTATCTTACTTCTGCTCCCATACATAGCTAGAATCCCACATTGAATAGGTGGAAGGACCAGTGTGAGGGAGAAAGTAGAAGCATTCTTTGAAAGCGTCCAAAGGAAACCCTAACGAGGGAACCTTCTAATAAGAGGATTATATGTAGCAGACTGCACTACCTCTGTATCAGATATACTCTTTGCCCACATGTGGAAAAGGTGCGATAGATCCGGGTAGAAAATTGTGAGGAACACATCCCAATGAGAGGGAATGGTTGGACAGTGATCCAAACCACAATATACTATAGTTTCAACTTACCTGATGAACAGAATGTGAGTAAAATAAGGGATGTGCACCAACGTGTAGAGTGGCTAGTGTGTAATGGAATGTACACACACCAAGTTAACCGCATCCAAAACTCGACCACTGGGAACTGACATCCATGAGAGGGTAGGAAAGAGAATCATACCTTCTTCACCTCAAGTTCAGCCAACCAGAGGGAGAAATCCTACTACTGATCTGTTAACAGGGCACATGTGAGCAGAGTAAAATAACATACATATATATCCCACTCAAATCAAACAGATCAGAATAATCTCAAATGCAGTAACATCCTCAGCATAAAGACATCAAAGGTTAGCAAAAGAGAAAGAAGTTGAGCAACCAACAAGTGCACCCACCGTGACCCACAAAACTGGGGTAGTGCACTTGAGGTGAATTGAATAGAGGGACAAGAGACACCCTGAACACATGTATGAGAACTTATGTTAATTGGTTTAGCTCTGAATCAAAAACTCAACCGCTGGGAACCAATATCCATCTGGGGGTAAGGATGAGGGATCTGAATCACACAACATGTGTGAGGACATATGGGATTGGCTCAACTCTAAATCCAAAACTCATCTGCCAGAAACTGACATCCATGCGGGGATAAGATGAAGGATCCCAATCGGCACAACATGAGTGTGGTCAATATGTTGATTTGTGCAGTTCTAAATCCAAAACTCAACTGCTGGAAACAAACTTCCATGTGGGGATAAGATGAAGGATTCCAATGATTATGATGGCACACTCCAAAGCTACAAAATCTCCTCACACAAACAGGTGCAGAGATGGAGCATCCATTTGGAAGACATCTCATCATCTACACCAGCAGAACACCACTGCCCTATTCTCAACTGAATTTAGTCATTATCGTTTATATTGTATATCTCTCATTCAGGAGGATATCTCCATGGTCCACCACCCCAGCAGTTTGGAACAGGAAAGTGATAAGGGAGGGCAAAGGCAGTGGAAAGCCTGGAGAAACTTTCACACTAGAGACAGCACAATGGATGACGACAAAACATTATTTTGATAAGCAGACCAAAGCTGATATATTCAATCTAAGGAATGGCAGGGATGGGCAGTAATCCCCTTCTGCTTTACCCATGAAATCCGTGGGTTAGTACGATCTGGATCGGGCATATTTATGAAGCAAAGATATCATGAGGAATATCATATGAGCAATCTTGTGGAACACCCCATCTCTAGTTTATGTGTTTGTTTTTTTGTTTGTTTGTTTTTTGAATTTTGCGCAAAGCTACATGAGGGCTATCTGCACTAGCCGTCCCTAATTTAGCAGTGTAAGACTAGAGGGAAGGCAGCTAGTCATCACCACCCATCGCCAACTCTTGGGCTACTCTTTTACCAACGAATAGTGGGATTGACCGTCACATTATAATGCCCCCACGGCTGAAAGGGCAAGCATGTTTGGTGTGATGGGGATTCGAACCCGCGACCCTCAGATTGCGAGTCGAGTGCCTTAACCACCTGGCCATGCCGGGCCCTAGTTTATGTGATTATAATGAACAGTACGACTGAAGTATACCTGGACATGCACCACTAGTCACAGAGCGGGATACTAGCAAGAAACGAAAATGACAAAAAGAATATTCCACATGAGCCCCCAAAGTGTAGGTTAGTAAAATCAATCCAGAACAAAAAAAACACAGTGAGCCGAAACAGCTGAGAAAACCAGATCTGTGCTGGCCAGGAAGGATGAATTAGAAAGACATGACCCGAAGTGACATGATTGATCAACTAAAGTTATAAATTGGATCTAATCCTGTCTGAACACATCAACAGCCAGGGTGAGTGGATGATGATCCTGAGACCAAAAACAAAAGAGGTAACTTGGAATCGAGAAAGAAGTACCCCACAGGAGGCAGCGCCACTGAAAATTTGAGAATCAAGAGGACACTCCTTGGGAGAAAGTGTGTCGGGCCTGGAAAAGCAATCTGCAACAAGTAGATAAAAGCACTTGCAACATGACATGCCAAGGAGATGTATGTCAAGTGTGTAGGTTCATAAAGGGATATCCATTGTCTACCAGAAAGGGAACAAGAACAGTGCCCCCTGGTGAGTAATATAATCCATCACCATCAAATAGTCGGAATGAAACATGATTAGTCAAACCAGGACCAGAGGAAGAAAGTGAACTAAAGCACACGGGACTGCCAGAAGTGCCAGGGTGTTAACATGGTAAGACCTTTCAGCTGTAGGCCATTGTCTTGAAGCCTCCTGCTGATCGACCCATGCCCCACAACTTTGGAAATAAGCATCAGGGTAGAGAAACAGATCCAGATGAGGGAGAAGAATCTGTAAACCCAATGACATATGGGATATATTCAACTACCAACACATATAGTCGGAGAGGGAAAGGGAAAAAGTTAAGAGGAGAATCCAAAAGAACCCTAGTAAGAGACCATGGGCCAGACCTAAAGGGAGAAGTGCTTCCATTGAAGTTACGTCCCCCAATGCATTAGAATCTTGCTAGCAGTAAGATAGTGAACCGTAATGGCATGAATAACAGCAAGATCCATTGATTGCAGTTGACGAGGAGAATGGATAGTCCCAAAGGAGGTTGGTGATTAAGTGGGTGATTAAAAGACACTCCGAAATAGCCAAGATTGTTAGGTAGGTAACAGGAAAATATATCCAAATGGAACATCCAACCACCTGAGCTGCTTGTGTACGAAGCAGATGAGTATGTTATGACCACCCCCATTCGAAAGGAGCTAATCAAAACCAGACGTCCAAGTAATGGTGTTAGTAAAATCCCCCAAAATGTGGAAGTTGGGTAAAATGCAGACCAACTGACCAAAGGGCAAGGCACGAAACTGGTACCAAATTACATGGTGAAAAAAAAACTAAGATAGCTTCCCAAGAAATGAAAAATAAGAACATGTACCATGGGCATTCTTAGTTATGCAGAAATTGCCCATCTCAATGCGATCAAAGACTGCATACTAAAACAGAGAAGAATCAAAAAATGATTGATGCAGGACCAATCAATCCAGAACTCCAATCAGCATTGAGCATACACATCAAATGGAGAAACCTGTAGGTAGGACAGGTAAGGGACAGGAAGGTGCTGGACATGGAACACAAATAATGATGGCAATGACATAGATTGCAACAAAAGAGCAACCAAAAAATAAAGAATATAGCATTACAGATACTCCACATCCTATTAAATGCACAGGAGTAGCCCCAAAACACTGACTGGTGAGTCTATTACAAATGGGTGGTAAACAAATGGTACAAGATAGTGTCCCATTCCAGAAGATTCCAAAAGCAAAGAAGCCACGTTTGGAGGGAATGAACTGAAGATGGCAAATGCCCCCAACATGTAGGGAATGAGGAAGAGGTATCCCAACTATCCTAGATATAAGTGGAACAACTAAGAAAGGAGGTGTAAGATAGAAATTTCCTGTAGGAGAGTTGATAGGATAAGATGAAGCTGGAAAAATAGGTGGGGAATACAATGGCTAGGATAAACAAAGAATGCCCCCCATACAGTCAACAGAGATTCTAAGTACAAAGAGTCAGGAAGAAAATCTGCCTGAAAGTGTGCTAAGGCAAATTGAACCAAAGCCTGTGCAGGGCGAGGCATGTGAGTACCCTCTCCCAAAAGAGAGACAAAAAATGTTCATCATGAAACAATGTCTGGAGGGGTGGAAAATTAAACTGTTAAACATACGTAAAAAAAAAGGCTGAGATAGGCCTAGCAGATTTCACAGTAGAGGCCTGGGAAGGCAAGCCATAATCAGGTGGAGGAAAACTGACAACATCTAAGTCCTCTTCAATGGTTGTCATCTGTAGGAGGAAGGCGAGCAATATTGGGAGACAGTAGAGCAGACCCCAGCCCCCGTGGTCCTCACAAACGAAATTAATTGTAAGAAGTATAAATTATAAAGAAATACGAAAATGAAATAATGGAAATTTAAGTAAGTGTGAAGTGAAATAAACATATATATAAACATATTCCAGCAAAGTAAAGCTGATAATTCCTCAGTCAAGGATCGCCACCTGAAGCCTGTGTAAATGTGCTGACAGAAGACATAACCTCTGAAGTAGAATTCGGAATTCATAATTCAAAATGAAAGTATAAACAAATTTTTAATGAAGTATTAAGTTCCATAACTGGGTAGAAATATAATAATTCCACTTAGGAATAAGTTACAAATATCACTATTGTATAATAAATTGTAAACTTGTTGAGAGAAACTGATATGAAGATATGAAAAAAAAAACACTTAAAGAGAGCACAAACTAAACGTCAGAACACAAGCACTGTGAAACGAGAAGTAACAGTTCACTAGAATAGCATAGTCGGAGCCACATGAGTCACGTGGGGGTGTGGCACTACTATTGATGGAGGTTTGTTGCATGATAATATGCATGTAAGAATCAGTTAAACCATGTGAATCGAGGGGTGCATGGGAGTGAAAGGCTTGTGGCATATGAAAAAAAATTCCAAAAAGAGGGCAGCACTGAACGTGAATAGCTATGTATGTGAGCAGAAGTAAGGTACCTTGTTGGAAATACAAGAAATATTTCAGAAGGCAAAACTTTTGTATAAATAGAAAATATATTGATTTTAAATAGAGCTTACCACATCCTGTTATCAGATCATTAGGATCACCAATCAGATTTCCTTCACATTCACAAATACCATTTGAACAGATAGCTCCAGATCCACATAAAATTCCTGTACAAGAATCTGAAATTAAACAAATTAATTTACATTAATGTAAACAATTTTACAACTCTGTTCTAAAGTTACATGTGTATCAGTCAAGAACAATTACAATAACTAAACAATGACTACAATAAGCAAGAACTACAATAACTATAACAAACAAGAACTACAATAACTAAACAACAACTATAACAAACAAGAACTACAATAACTAAACAACAACTATAAAAACAAGAACTACAATAACTAAACAACAACTATAACAAACAAGAACTACAATAACTAAACAACAACTATAACAAACAAGAACTACAATAACTAAACAACAACTATAACAAACAAGAACTACAATAACTAAACAACTATAACAAATAAGAACTACAATAACTAAACAACAACTATAACAAACAAGAACTACAATAACTAAACAACAACTATAACAAACAAGAACTACAATAACTAAACAACTATAATAAACAAGAACTACAATAACTAAACAACTATAATAAATAACTCAGTAAACTAACTACAAATGCAAATCCATAATGAGACCAAGTTCCCTCAGAGTAATTTATTATTTTTAAAGATCATAGAAATATTATTTTTCCCCTAGATTCTGATTTGAAACATTAAATGTCTTTGTATGTTGTGTAAGTATGTTTGATATTTTACTGAACTCATCAAGTATGTGAAGAGTTTCCAGTATTATCCCTAAAAGCTTTTTAATTTTCTCTAACATTTTTTAAGATAATTTGTCAAATAGAAATCATAAAATATAAAATGGAAATATTTAAATAATAGTTCTCTTAAACTACTCAGAAGAAATGTCTTTTTTGATTATATTTTCTAAGAAAACAAAAACTCACAGTCATATTTCAAATACTCACCTGTACAGTTACCACCACTACATATTTCTCCTTCAGGACAATCATCATCTGTTTCACAAGAGCATCCCTCACCTGGTTCACATTCTGCTGGTGATGCTGAGAGAATAAACAAAATATCAAAATAAGCAATACTAAAAGCAAATTTTTTAAATGTAATTTCTGATTTTTAAATCTACTGTAACACTGAAAATCTACATGTACAATTAAAAGACTACTATGTTCAGAAACCTAAATGTCATTATATTTCATTGTTATACTTGCTGCCAGATATATGCGTCACCATGTTTTAAAAACTTTTAATAGATTGTATTAAAAACAACTTCAATCAAACCTGTTTTAGATCTATCAAAAAATTTATAGTTTTCCTTTTTGTAAAAGTTTCTATGGCTATTTACTGCATAAATTATTTCTAATAACCAGCAATATTACATACTTAAATACATGGTCGATTAGTGTAAAACAGATTTAAACAATAATACTTTTGGTAATTTCAATAACATTATAATACTTCAACATAACTTTTTAATAAACTGTTCAATCTAACAATATTATCAATATTAAATAAAACCTACTGCAAGCAAAGCTGGGATTTCCAACAGTACCAGAAGGACAAGCACACAGAAAACTTCCAATAGTGTTTATACAAGATGCTGAAACACCACAAGGTATTGGAGGAAGTAGACATTCATCCACATCTATGAGAGAACAAAATTGTTGTTTGTTAATGATGAAACTTTCTATAAAAACATTGTTTGTATAGTTTATTATCTCTTACATTTGCTAAAACAGGTTTTTTTGGGTGGGTGGGGGATCTTTTTCATTAATTATTAGCTAAGGTTTCAAATTTCAAAGCAAAAAAATTATTACACATAAATGAAAATGGTTCATACAAATACTTACCTAAACATCCCAGAAAGGGATTTCCTTGGAGTCCAGCTGGACAAGAACAATCTGCTCCACCTGGTCCTGTGACACACTGAGCACCAAGTCCACACTGAATCTTGTCACACTTCTGTGAAGAACCTTGGAAAAATATAAATGATGATGATGATCAAAATCACTAAGAAGCTGTAGACGTGAAAAATAATACAAGTAGAACACTATAAACAAAAATTAGGGAAAGAAAAAATTATAACGATGAATAAATGTTTTTTGTTTTTTTTTTACTTATAATGTAAAAACGTAAAAGTAAAGAAGAAATAATAATAATATATAAGTAACAGTGCAAAAATGGTTTTAATTTTACAAGTAAACACACAATTAAAAATGTGTCATCAATTGACAAATATGTAACACTGGACGCAAATTATCAGAAAGGTACACAGACATTCATGGCATATTACAGTTGATATGATAAAACCGAAAAGAGCATGGATGATTATAGTTACCACACAACTGGTAAGGATTTCCACTGTAACCGCTATTGCATACACATTTATTTGGAACACCATATTCACAGTGAGCATTGATACCACAAGAAGGAATACAAATTGGAGGAAGGATTGCTGAAAAAAAAAAGGTACAAACATTTATACTCTAACTAATGATACATGTACACACTCCATAGTTATGTTGTCTATTTTTTGAAAATTTTAATTTACATTTTCCCTTTCTTTCCAGTTTATGATTTTTTTTTGTTTTGATAATGACTATGCTGTAATTACATATTTGTAATTTTGTTATTTCGTGTCTTTTAAGGATGATGACAAACTACTTACGTGGCACACACAGAATGGCTGGATGTCCAATGAAAAAAGGGAGACAAACACAATGTCCAGTGTTTCTATCACAGCGAGCACCCACACCACACTGTATTCCATCACAATGCTCTGGAAACATTATTTTTCAAGCAGTGTTAGAAAATGTCTTTACTATAACAAATAATTATCTAACACAATAACCATTAACTTAAAATACATGTTTATGTGTACTACATTTTTAAACAAAACTTTGTTAATTTTGTGTTTTTATAGTGGGTCATTTACAAATTTTGTAAATTAGCTATGATCAATGTGATAAATAGGTATCTCTCTCACATATAAATGCAAACTATGCTGTCCAGGCTCATAAAATGCCTTCAAATTTAATTAGTGGTTATAGGAGTATATACATGACTACTCTTACAGCAAGACTGTTAAACAAAATAAATCCAAAGGAATCGATATTTCAGAAAAGAGAATCTTTAGTTCTTTTGTGGCAATTCCCCAACATTCACACCTCAAACCATTCATATTCATACCCACACTGTCATCTACAAGTGAAGGCTATGTTTCTGAAAGAGAACCTTCCATCCCTAAGAAAACATTGTGATGAAGCTGGCCATATTTCTAATACATTAAAAAATGTTAATATGCAGAGAGTTGAAGCTGATGAAGGTTCACATGTCAAAACTTTACAAGTTTCCAGTCATACCATGAAAAAAAACTACTTGCATAAGAAAATTATTGAAGAAACTGTAATCGCAGCAATCCTGTTGGATCCCACAATACAGACCCAACGACATTTATGCTTTTGGCCTATGTAAGCTTGGAATTTGTATACCTAAGATATTAGTCTGTTTTATGGAAAAATGCACAATAGGAGACAGAAAAACACTAAGTTAAATATCTGTGAGGATGGCTGAAATAACTGGAATCATGTCATTGATATTTGACCTCACACCTGTCAAATCCCTTGACGTAGCTCTTATGGACTTTTATGATTTTGACTTGCTTAAATGTATGCTTGGAATTAATTTGTTTATGAAAAGCCACACAAGAGGGAAGAAAACTATAAAATGGTTCCAAAGAAGCCCAATTGATCTCATGGAAATTCTGCTGCAAAGCCATTGTTAACAAACAGAAATAGTGGCCAGCACAAAATCACAAGTGTAAATGACCTTTCATGTACCAGTGGAAATTAAGTCATAAGAATTATGTTTAATCTAAACATATTTGTATAGTGTAACAGATGCAACATTGTGTATGTTGTTTCAGAAAAACGTTACTTTTGCAGTAACTTGCAACATACATGATATTAATATAAAGAAAATATTAATTTGGAGTTATATGAATATCTATTTTAAATTGAATAATTCAACGTAATACTATTAACACAATGCACAACTTGTTATATATTACTTTTCAGTCATAGTATAGAATATTAATAACACTTCCTAAACAATTATGAATCCATGAATATATAATGCATATTTAAATATTTGTGTGCTCAAAAAAAGAATAATGTAACAGTGTCAAATTTTACAAGTTAGAATAAACATAGATTGTCTTTTAAAAATGGTAAATTCAATTAAATATATATGTATATATGTTTTATAGTTCTACTCAATATCTTTTTGTAAAGGTGGAGGTTGGGAGTTTAATTAGTAGAAATGTTAGGGTGGCTTCATTTCATTTCTTTTTTAAGAAATTTAAGGGTAACTGCCTTCCCACAACTGGCTATTGACAGTGAAAAGAAGTAGAAGTTGAGAAGTTATGGGTGTAAGCACACAGCTTCACACCCTTATTTGATTTTTTATGAGTTTCCATGACGGCTGACTAGATTGACATCGACATTTGGATTTTGTCTGATAGGTGGGATATCTTCAATGCATGTGGGTGCTATTACCACAAACATTATCCGATAATGGTAATGCAATATATAGTTGTTATAATACAAAATTTCCAACTTTTCTGAGTGAACAAGCTCTGTTAGAAGATTGTATGCAGTTAACTGAATACCAGAGTGTACCAGTAAGTATTAATAAGAAGTTATTTTAAAACGTGAATCTACACAGCAATAACAGTTCCCAAATAGAGAACACAAGTGTTTGATATAAATGTTGTATATTAATCTAATTTGGTAAAATTAGTACAGAACTGTACATTTAATTCCCATAGAGTAGTGATAATAGGGTTTCTTTAAGTTTATTTAATATTGAGTGAGTTATGCAGTAACAGTCACATCCATCCACACAATACTTTGCTGGTAAAGATGGTAATCTGTTTTTCTGTGAATCTATGCAATTAATTTTATCAATAGTGAACTGCACACTTACCAACACACACTCCATCCACACAATCCTGTGATGGAGAACAAGGACGGTTCACTGAACAACCAACATCTGAAAGTATTAAGTGCTATTACTGTATCAACTATATAATACAGTTGGTTAAAATAATCAAATATTATAGCTATCTTTTACTTTAGAAATAACATTTAAGAGTGTTTTACTTCATTAACCAATTATAATGATTTGAAACATGAAGGAAATTTATATACATATTTATTGTGAAATATATTTTATTATCATGTTAATGATTCTTCTGAATATCTCCGAAACAGTGTTATTTTATTAGATAACATATGATACACACAACTAACAACTTTTGATTTAGAAACTATACATAATACATAACTACATTTTAATGTCATTCAATACACAGATTTGGTTTACAAACAATATGTATTCTGTTGTACATGGGGAATTTAACTGTAAAATTATAATTATAGATCATCAGTTCCCCAAATTAATAAGATTTCTGGTTAAGCAGTTTTAATTTTAATTTTTAAGCAAATTTTGGAACAAATATCTATTTTAAATAATTCTAATTTTCTTATCTTAAATTTTACTGAACTCAATTTATTTACAAATTTACACATATACTAAGAAAATGTGTGATTAAAGGCTGATTTATTTTTCTTTTCTGACAGTTCATATCATTTTCAATAACAAATCCAGGAAAAACAACGTTTGAAAATAAGGCATGATAGTTAATTCCCATTATGTCAAGCTTTCATTTGTTTTTCATGTAAGCTAGTGTACAGTAAAAATAAAACAAAACCCTGTCTACAAAAAATTATCCAAACCTGGAAAACACTGTCCTCCAGCCCAAGGATTTCCAACAAAACCTTCTTGGCAAAGACAAACTCCTTGGTTATCAGAACTGACAATGCAATGGGCATTTAAACCACACCAGAATTTAGCACAAGCTGTGAACATATACAAGAGGTTTATATATTTTAGTTAAATATTCCTATTATAAATACTCATTCAGTACAATAACCCATACACTGAGAATAAACAGCTCTTTAGCCAACTGGTAGAAAAGTGGTACAGTTTATTTTAAAACATTTAATGAACACAAAGCCATCTTCAAATATTCATGTAAGCTTTTCATACAAAACTCTTTGTATGGTTGTAAAAAGATTATTTGGCTAAATATTAATTATTATATTCCTTCTTCCAATAACACAGTTTTGAATTTTGTATATATAGCCATTGTAAATTGTATGGAAATTTAGAAACTGGGATTCTTAAGTCTAAAATTTTATGCAGAATCAACTATCTAATAGCTTTCATATCAACAAAGAAATGTTTTTATTATATCTGACACGTTAATGGTTGATAAATATTCATACAAAAATGCCTTAGATGATATATAAACTATCGTCACTGACTTACAACACTCTCCCCACATAAAATAGAAGTATATAGAATGATAAAATACTTTGATATGTGGCATGACATACTTTGTTAACACTAGCAGTAAAATTGTTTTCAATCTAGATCAACTAAAAAAACACTGATAAGATTTTTACTTTTGAATTCAATTTTGAGAAAAGCAATGAACATACTAGTGTCCAATTACACATACATTACGGTAGTATCAAAGTTATACTTACGAGATTCACAACCTTTAGTTTCATCATATGGATCACCAGAAAAGCCTGGATGACAGAAGCAAGATGCTTTGTGATGTTCGGGAACACAATATGCATTTGGTCCACACCACGCTGTAGAGCAGGGATCTGTCAAAAGTAGAAACTTTCTGTTACAGTAAAATATGTTGAGGAAGCTGTGAAGAAAGAAACTGTTAAAAACTAAGAATCTTGATTATATAGTAATAACTTGTTGGTGTTATAATATGTATTCAAGGAATGGTGGAATAAAGATCTGGCAGAAAAATTGGCAAAAACTATAATAAAGAATAAATTAAGCATTTATCACGATATAAATTTATACAAAAGTGATACACCAAAATACAAGTTGATATACAATTATAATCATATTCCAAGCCAAAGTTTCATCACTAACAGATAATTAAATATTCTAATCCTTCAGTGAACCTTCCAGAATCACAGTTGGTCTTAAACTACCCCCTCTATAGTGTATCATACAATTTTATCAGAAGTACTTTGGGCTATTTTTAACAGTTGTTATTTTAAGATTACAAATTATATAGCTGATATTGTTGTTTTCTTTATATTATTAGGATTGATTTGAAACTCACCAATGCAGGCACCACCTTTCTGGTCACAAGCGGCATTATCTGCACAATCTTCATGCCATTTACATGGAGTTCTTCCCCAACCTATTGAACATTACACAAGTATTAAAAATAAAATCTTTAGTTTGTTAATTCTTTATTTTATACTATTGTTTATTTCTTTGTTTTAGAGAAATACCACATTGAGCTATCTGGTGCATCCACTACAAGGAATCAAACCCCAGATTTTAGCATTGTAAGTCCATAGGCTTACAGCTGTCCCAGTTGGGAACTATTATATATTAATTAGAACTAATATAATATTTATTTGAACATATGGTTCAAAGTTTTAAATAATGTGAAGATGTAAAAAATTACCAATTAATTCTGGATAACAAAGTAAATTTCATGGAATTAAGATTTGGAAAGGTAAGTCTTAATAAGACTAAACTTTAAAATCTAAGGAATATCTGTATCTTAAGCATGTAATGTTTAAATGTAGCCGAGCAGATAGACCAATAGATGAATAGTAATGAGGGCAAAAGACAACTCACATAAAGTAACAAATGTGAATAAATGTTAGGCTAGTGCACTTACAACCATCCTTATCAGGATTGCCACTAGTGCCAGGTGGACATTCACAGACATAGCTGCCAACAACATTGATGCAAGTGGCACCAACTCCACAAGGACCATTAGGATCCACAGGCAGACCACTTGTGCATTCATTAACATCTGCAATAATTTGTTCAGAAAAAAAAAAGGTATATTTCCAGATTTATGGAAACCTACAAGAAGAGCTAAACTATTGAATATAATTAATCAAAAAATGAAAATCTAAGGGCTACTGCCTTGAATTCACCACAATTTATTATGAAATATTCATACTGAACCTTCCCACACTTATTACATACACCTACCAAAAGAAATATCAGTATTTCAAAAAATGAAACAATTTCAAGTATAACATTAAAATTATGAAACAATAGTTTAATCATTATGGCTATTCTTAAATAACACTTTCCAGAGGGGAATTAGAATATATTGATTTTACATTAAAACACTTAGCTATAGTTATTAGCCATTCAAAACATGGAAAGAGACAGCATTCTGTATTTTGAAATATAGTTTTCTAATATTTTATTACTCATTTTGAAAAAAAAAATACATTAGAATAAAATAGCTTAAAGCATTACACAATTTAAAAAATTATAAATAAAAGATAAATGCATATATCTTTATTTCATTATTGAAGCTAAAGAGCCTTTATTCATCAATTCACTGGCTAATCCTAAAGTTTACTATGATTAAAATCCTAAAAGAAGAATGCAAATATCAGCCCTTTTTCCTTCCCAGGAAAGTTTTATTGAAACCCCTTAGATCAAAGAAATATAGGCATTCTTAGCAGAAAAAAGTATTTGCAAAATATTCAAACATTGACAATATGCCTAATTCTATTAGTGATAGCCTACTTAAACCAATATCATTTGATATTTGTTATCATGTATATTTATGTTAACTTCCAAAACTTAAGGTTTTATGATTTACATTACCTATTAAATTGAGTTTGGCACAATCCAACACAATGCTCAAAAATTATATATAAAAAAACTATACAAATAAGATATTATCAATACATAATAGCAGATGCAACTTCTTGAAATCTAGTTCTTAGAATAAATTCACTAGTAACATAACCAATGACTTTTTAAAATATTTTCTGTAATAGAAGTTGAAAGAGTCAAATGGCTGAAATTATAGTTTGAAATACGTAATCAAAACAAACTTAAAAATGTGTTAATGATTTCATAATTGACTTAACAAATACATAAGTAAGAGAATGACCTTGTAACCGAATATTCACTAAAAGTGTCTGTAACACTTTACAAAATCTTCAAGAGAATATTCGTGAGCTCACAGAAGATAAAAACAGGAAAATGTCTGACAAGTTAAACATAATTACTCTTCATTTTAATATTAGTATACTGACTATATTTTTGTCTGATGATAAGTTTACAAGTAGTTTAAACGTTTAACTCTATTTTGGAATTCTTCTAATTTAGTTTTATAACTGCTTGTAGTTTAATTGTGATTTAATATTCTGGTCATACTTTCACTAGAAAAATGTTCTAATAACCTATAATTGCAATATGACTAATCATACAACAAATATCTACATTACATGGCAACCAAAACTATTTTCTTTTAGTGCAAAAACAACAGTTGTACATGAAACTTTATGATATGTCATAGTTTTTTGTGCTTTTTTAAAAGAACATCAAAATTTTCAGAACACTCCAGGTGATTAATTTTCTACCAGAAAAATTGAAGTGAGTACTTTTAAAAGACCAACACCTATTTTCAAGCAATTGTAATAACAGAAAACGTACAGGTAAATTTCTGTATAGTTGTGTGTGTGAGGAAACATACTCAGGAAACCTACCCCAACATCCCTCATTAGGATTACCCTTGAATCCTTTGTTACATTTGCAAATTGGTCCTTGTAGGCCCAGCACACAACTAGAATACTGGCCACATTTCTTCCACCTACATGGATCTGTGTGTTCAGCAAAATTACATTAATAAGTATTCAATAGGAATTCTTACCCAATATTAAACAGATAAATTCATCATTATATACAGTCCAAAACATTGTTTATAGAAACTTATCTTAAAAAAACAGATTAGCAATTTCAAAATTCGAAAAAAAAATTATAAAATTATGCCATATTCACGTGGAAGAAATGTTAAATTTATAAAAATAACTGAAATACAAAACAAAATTAATATACAGACACACCAATAATGTTCTTTTCACTTCCAGACTTTTAAAAAATAAGAAATTTAGACCTGTATTACCCAGCCTAATATCTCTAACAATTAATACTACCCGAGACTATTCTAATATAACTGATTCATCTATTATTTCTTCATAACCTGTTCACTTATATGATATTCTACCTAAAACATTTATTAATCAATGTCATATGTGACAAATCTATTGTTTTCAATTTATCTAGAATATTAATTAAATTGTACTGTTTCTTTAGCTGTCACTAATGCCATCTGTCCTTGTGACATTTCTTTAATTATCATTTTTGTCATATGTCATTGTGATCTTTCTTTAACTGTCACATTTAATTTAACATTTACTTATGATGTTTCTTAAATTGTGGTTGATACTTCATTTAATGTGGTAAATTACTATTTCAAACTTAAAAATAACCCAACATTTTGAAAAATATAAATTTTAAAAATAAATAAAATTGTATGATTACATAGATGTTAAAACCTAAAAATTTATAACTTTACAAACTTAATTTTTATACACATGAGAATCTTCAGCATCTTTAGCCATACTTACGTTCACATATTCCCCCTTCTAGAACATAAGGAGGAATGCACTTGCACTGACCATGTATACACTGTTGATTTGAGGGACACTTAGTGTTGATATTGCAAAATATTTCTGCACAAAAAACAACAACATTAATTTAGGAAACATTCAAAGTAACTGTAAAAACTATTGAAACGTTTCAGAACATATATTGGTTGCAGTCTTTGGCACAGAGTTTCCAGTAAACATATAGTGTATAACTGATACAGACAAATGCATCAATAATAAATTAAAAGTTTCTTGAAACTAACATTTCTGGTCAACTTTTTACAAGATTATAAAGTCCTTTTCAAAATCTTAATATCAGATATTACATATAAAAATCAAGACATACTGATTTAGGATTACAATACATAAACTTCCTTTCAACAAATAATACTTCATATAAAACAAACAAGTAAGTGTATGCCTATAATACTTGTTACTCTTAAATATTGTACCATAGAAAAGTCTCATAAGTTACATGTATATTTAAACAGAAATTCATTCAGAAAATTTACAAAATAAACATATTTCCAAATCTCAAACTCGTTCAGATAAATTCTGAGTTTTAATATATTAAGTTTACACAATTTAACTTAGTTATGAAATTTGACTGAAGTTCGTTTTAACATTGAAAATCAATAGAGTGAGGTATCACTTTAATACCAACCAATCAAGGAGCATCCTTTTTTTGGATTTCCAGTGTAGCCATTACCACAGACACAATCATAGGCACCTGGTAAATTGAGGCATTTTGCATTAGGTCCACAGAGAGACCACTCATTAATCTCTGTACATTCGTTTATATCTATAAGAAGAAAAAATAAAACCACTGAGAAAATATTCTATTAATTCTTATGAGGTTTTGAACATTTTTACAAATATTTAAAATATCATGATAGATTTTTATTATGAATATACAACTTTAGTTATTTAATGATAGTAATGATTTTCACGAAAGCTCTATATTTCAAAATATTACAAGAAATAAAACTGAACTAGTTAATCATTATGTTTATTACAAATCTTCATAATATCTCAACAAGTTTGAAACATATTTTATAAACCAGATTAAAACAATAACTTTAATATTTCAAAAATCTAAACTTTCTAATAATCAAATATTAAATAACTTTGTTGCTTTTGCATATAAGCAAAAAACAGAGAAAAAATTACAAAATAAAATATAAATAAAAACAAAAAGATGTACAACTTCAGGTGACTTGGAAACAAAGTTTTTAAACAAAACTTTATATAACAACCATTAGAATTACTGGCTTCAATTTTGATTGTAATATATTAATTCTTCTTGTTACTGACAACAAATGCACACACACATACTGATACAACTTAAAATAAAAGTCACAATTAACACTTAATTAGAATTATAATGAATACATTTCTCTGGATAATACTTTATTAATGAGGTTTCTACAATGCAAGGTGGTGATGTTTGTTTTGTTTATGTATAAATGCAAAGGTACACAATGAGCTACCTGCAACATGTGCACCACGGATATCAAATCTATTTAAAGTATATAAGCTTACAAGCTTAATGCTGAGCAACTAGAGGTAGGGGAGAATAAGATATTAAAAGGCAGTTTTTTTTTGTATGTATGCAGGAATTCCTGAGAAGAATAAAGAAACTTATAACTGTCACAAAATGAGTGGCGCCTGTATCTCAAAACAATTTAGCTGCTTTGATATAGTGTTTTTTAAAGTCTGTAACTGTTTCTTTGCCACCTATATAAAGACCATTGGTTGATTATCTTTTTGGAATTAACTTCATATTGGCAATAGTTTAAAAGAAACACCTTCAGTATTTGTTGAATCACAAGTTCTGGTTCCAAAAGTGGGTGGACAGAGGACTGTTACTATATGCTTTCCAGATATCCTAAGACTCAATATTAATGCTGTTAAATGTGAGAGGAACAATTTCAAGCTCATAAAAAATTGAGGGGGTGTATTTCTCCTGTAATTTACACTAATATTCTAAACTGCCATTACAATGTCACAGATTTCACAGAAAAACTATATAAAATCTTTAAACAAATTATTAAATTGGATGGGTGATGAAAACAATTACACAATTCATTTTACGTTTAAAGTATTTATTCAAACTACTATACAAGTGGTCATGAATGAAGTTAGTACAAAAATCAAACACTATTCTAAATGCAACTTTAAAAGTAAATTGTCATATTTCAAGTTAAAGTGAAAATAAGTGATATTTCAGCTCAAAGTCTCAAAAAAGAACTAATACTGAAAATATATATTTGTTTAAATACCTTCTGAATTAGTTAAAGAAAATGAGTACTGATAGAATTTGTAAATACAAGAATAAGCATAAAAATCTTATCAATACTTAGTACATAGATCTAAGATTATATAGATGTTCATGTAAAGTTCTGTGATGTAAAAGTAATTAATCTTAGATTCTTATAATGTAAGTGGCATGAAAATTTAAAATATTAACAATGCCCATTATATTTTCATCATATAAAATGATAGTTCAATACAGTATTTGACTGCTAAATTTTCATACTTTCCTGCTCTTATTCCTTACCTCTACAATATCCATCAGCTTCAACAGTATAACCATGAGGACAAATACAAAACCCATAATTACTTCCTGTAAAAACACATTCTTGGTTTTCAGGACAAGGATTGACTGTGGAACAGTTTCTACTGGCCTCTTTACAAAAATAATTAAAACAAAGAATCAGAAGGATAATCTGAGTTAAGATAAATATCTTAATAAATATATAATTATTTGTGTAAAAATATACCCTTGAAATAATATTTAGAGCCTACTATGCCAAAAGCTGTAACAATTAATATACATTTCACCCATCTTTCCTTAATGTAATGTCTCTTAGTTTCTATGACACATTCATTTATCAAATTTTGACATTGAACAATTGGTAGGGAGTAATTTGTTTACATGTCTTGGGGTTCTTAATTACTACTGTATGTGGCATAAGCTTTCATATAATTATTTTTTATTTTGTAGTAAAATGCAAATTACTTATTAAACTTTAATAACAGTTTATGTTATACAACTACTTATTGAGTCAGCTGATAAGGTATGCATGATTAAAAATTAATAACTTACTGATGCAGTATTCCCCTTCCTGGATAAATGGAAATCTACACCCACAGTGAAAATGATGGAAACTATTCTCCACACACACTGTATTCCCAGGACACTGGCTGTCTTTGTGGCAGGGTATAACTAATCAGAAAAATAACAAAAATCATTGTATATTTGTTTTATTTTCATAATTACCAGAAGTTCTTCACAAAAAAACAATTACAAAGTTATAATTTTCCTATACTGAAAATACATTTCCAATAGATACTTACATCCTCTCACATACATAGCTATTCTCATTCAGTGTTGCCCTCTAGTTGCAAAAAAATTTTCGCATGCCACAAGCCTTGCACTCTCACTTATCGACGACGATTATTGTAATTCCACTGCATCTCACATGCAAAATTTTCATGCAACAGCCCTCCACCAATAGGAGTGCAACACAACCTCCTGATGCATGTAGCTCCCTCTATTCAATTTTAACGAATTATTACTTTGAGTTTACGTGGAAAAGGAAGCATCAGTTTTCAGTAGGGAAGGAAGGGTGGGAAGTTTGAGAAGAGATAAGTACCTATCAGAAATATATTTTCAGTATAGGAAAATTTTACCTTTTGATAAGGTATGTTACCTCACCTCACATATATATAGTCAGAATCCCACATTGAATAGGTGGAGGGACCGGTGCGAGGGATATAAAGAAGTACCCTTTGAAAGCATCCAAGAATAATACCCTATACTGATGATTTTCATAATAAAGAATTATCCTTGGGAGATTGCACCACTTCTGTACCAGGTATACTCTTTGCCCAGTGTGCAGACATAGGTGGAAAAATGAGGAGCACAACCAGAAGGGAGAGAAAATGGTGGGATTGGAACCAGAACACCTAAAAACATACTCTCAATCCCGATGGAGAGAGTCTGTACATGATTTCTCTACAGACAATAAGGTGTGAAGTGGCTAGGGTGCAGCAGACCTAACCAGCCAGTCAACTCCAGTCCAAAACTAAGCAAAATTGATAATATAACTTCCAATCTGTGATAGGAAAAGGTGTCCACACTGTCTTCACCTCAAGTTCCATAGAAAAGAAGTAAAAACAGGCACATGTGCACAATCCATGACTAACCAGACATCCAAATGATGGTAGTAACAGGCAACACATGTGTGAAGACTTAAGTTGATTGGTCCTGTTTCGAAATTCAAAACCAGTCAACAGGAACCAACATCCATGTGATGGTAGGATGAGGTATCACAATCAAAGGAGTGAACTGCAATGTTACAGATCAACTCCAAAGCAACATTATCTTCTCAGATAAGACCGTACAGCATTAGAGCACATTGTTAACTTCCGGTTACTACTGCATGGAAGTTAATTGCCCCCTATAAATGATATGCAACTTCACCCTCCAGATAATCACACTAGCCAGGTGCAACATCAACCCTTGGAACCCACCAGACAGAGACGGTGCATATGAATGGATAACCAGCATCATCTACACCAGCAGGACACCACTTCCCTACTCTCAACTGAATGTAGTTATATATTTAGTTATTTGCTTAAGATCACATTCAGGAGGACACCTCCATTAGCCACTACCCCAGTGGCTTGGAACTGGAAAGTAGCAAGGACTCCCATACTCCACTTGAAGAATAATGGGGGAGAAAATGCAGTGAAGAATCTGGAGGAATACAAACACTGGAGACAATTCAATGGGTGACCTTATTTTGAAAAGCAGACTGCTGCAGATTTATTTAATCTAAGGGACAGCAGGGATGAGCATCTATCCCCTTCTGCTTTACCCATGAAATTCCATGAGTTATTACGATCCAGAATGGGCATATCCATGAAGCAAATATATTAAGAGGGAAAATCTATGAGTGATCTTGTGGGACATCCCATCTCAACAGTGTGTATTATATACCATGGAAATATAGCCTTTATGATAGCAGCATGGCTACACAGTGCAGATATGTAATGCATGAAGTGTACCTGGGCAAGCAAAACTCGGAACAGAGCAGGATCCTAATAGTAAAAAAGGAACATGTCCCTGAAAGAAAGTAAAATGTATATCAAAAGAGAACTTACTCAGTCAATGTCTCACTGAAGTTTGAAGAATGGTGATAGGTGGAAGATAGTATCCCGATGAGGAAGAAACAGCCACCCAATGCAAAGAGTAGTAGATGAACGTATAAGTATTCCACATGCCCGCTTGAAGAATGTCCTCCAATGGACGATGGAAGTGAGACACCATGGAAAAGGTAAGGTGCCTGATTTGATGTGACAACACCTGGAACAGATTTCAGGAAGAAGAAGACAAGGGAGATGGAGAGGCAGCACAGAGTCAGAGTTGAAGTAGTCGAGGAAACTGACCAGTATAGAACAATCAGAAGAAACTGATATGGAGTAGCATGGATAATTGAAATCACCCTGGGAATAATACAGATGGGAGGATAAACATTAAAGTATTGATTGGTTCAATCCTGGCTGAATGCATTTGACAGCTAGGGCTTGTGGAGGAGGAACTTGGCATTGAGAAAGGTGGCAAATGTATCCAGATGAAGCATACCCCACTGTTAGCTTAGCCACCAGAAAACATGAGGATTGAGAGACCACTCCATTGTAAAAACATTGTCCAGTCTGGAAAGATGATCCACCATGAGGTTGAAAGCACCCAGAACATGACATACCAAGAGATGTAGCTGAAGCATTTGGACCTAAAAGAAGTAGATCCAAAGTTTGACCACAAAGGGAATAAAAACAGATGCAAGCTTGATGATTGATATAAGCTACCACTGTAGAATTGTCAGAATGGATCATGACAATTCGATTCATAACTAGAGGAAGAAATTGATCAAAAGCCCATCATACCACCAGAAGCTTCAAGGTGTTGATGTGGTAAGACCATTTGGTCAAAGATAGTAGTCCAAAAGCCTGCTGATCGACCCACGCTCCCAACCAAGTAGGGAAGCATCAGTGAAGATATGCAAATCCAGGCGAGGATGAGGAAGTGGATCACCCAGTGATGTGTAGGTTTTGTTAAACCACCAATGCAGATCATTGACGAGGAAGGGTAATGGAAAAATCCAAGGTATCCTGAGCAAAATTCCATTGGTCATGCAGAGTCTGCTGAAGAGATTGCACATGTGCCCAACCCAATGGGATAAGAGTTTCCATAGAAGCCCATATCCCCAAAGGTGATAGAACCTCATGAGCAGTAGGAGAGGGAGCAGCAAGGGCATGGAAAACTGAAAGCTCCATTGAATGGAGTCAAAGAGAAGAAGGTTGGACCTAACTGAATTAGGAGTTGAAAAATACCCCAAAGTGGACAAGATACTAGATAGGTTACAGAAAAGACTTTTCTAACTTGATAATCCAATCCACTTAAACAGCTTCTGAAAGAAGGAGACAAGTGTAACAAAAAGATTCCATTTCGGAATGAGCTGACAGAAGCCAGAATTCCCACCATATGTGAACAAAATAGGTCAAACAAGCCCCTATTGGACTGGAACCCACAGGATAGTTCCCGGTACTGCTGGCAACGATGACACCTACATCAATAAAATGACAAACAGTGGAACGCCTAGTGGGTGGCACAGGTAACAGACAGGAAGGTGTCAGAAGTGGAATAGGAATAGGGGTTTGCAAGGGTTCAGATTGAGACAAATGAGCAACCTAGGACAAAAGGGTCGAATGTTGCCTCAGAGATTCCACATGATTCCAAAGTGTCAGGAATATCTCCAAAAAATGAACTGTTGGAGAAATGGAGACACCTACAAGTCCTAAACCTGGGCAAAATAGTATTTCTCCCCAGAAGATCCCAACAACAAAGAAAACATGTATGGAAAGAGAGAGCTGAGGAGAACAATCATGCCAGTGTCGAGGTAAAGAGGGAGAAGGTGTCCCCCCAAAATCTCTCAAGAGAATGGTGGAGTGCCTCAGAAAGGTGGTGTATGATGGACAAGTACCATAGGAGAGTTGTAACGATAAGATGAAAAATTGGACAGAAATGTCAGGGTCTGCCCTCCCCCAAACTGGCAGTATTGATGCTAACTGTTGAGAATCAAGAAAAGGGCAATCTGCCTGATGGTAAGCCAAAGCAAACTGATACATGGCCCATGGAGGGCGAAGCATGCTAGCATCAGCTCACAACTGAGAAACATATTGCTGAGCATAAACCCAGATGTCAGGAAAAGGAGGGAAAAGACAGTATTGAGAGGAAGGAGTGCCATGTAATAAGTAAGGTACAGGATTAGAGAAAATCGGGGAAAGGGATAAAATGGAACAAAGCTGATAAATCAGGTCTTAAAAAGGCTGAATTAGGACTGGCAGATTCCACAGGAGTGGGTAGGAAAGCACGGTATAATTGGGAGGAGGAAAAAGGCTGTCAAAATCCTCATCCTCATGAGCAGGTTTGGCTTGTTCAGGAGAAAGTCAACCAATACTGGGAGAAGGTCGACTCAGATAGTGAACAATCTCCCGACGAATAAAGGCTGAAAATTACTCAGTCAAGTTCCCCCAAACTGAAGCCTGTGTATGTGTGGTAAGAGCAGGTAGCATAAACTCCAAAATAGTCATATTAACTTCGGTATTCATCATGAGCAGGGCACAAGCAAAACACATGTTGACTGTAGCACTGCTGAACAAGAAGTGATAGTTTGATACAATCAAATAGGGGAGCCACATGCATCAGGCGATTGTGTCACACCCCTATTGGTGGAGGGTTGTCCCATGGTGAGTTGCATGTAAGACACAGTGAAATCATGATAACTGGACGTAAGTGGGAGTGCAAGGCTTGTGGCATGGGAAAAAAATGATTGCATATAGAGAGCAGCACTGAACGAGAGTAGCTATATATATGCATGAGCACAGGTAATGTACCATATCAGAAATTCAACCTTACACAATTAAACAAACTTGCAATAATCTCATGTTTGGCATATTTTGTCAAAAAATAATAATTAGGCTATATATTTGCTAAGAGTATTATTGCAAAAAATCTTTTTACATGCCAGTATTATTATTTCTTTTCTTGAGATAAATATATACATACATACATATATCTTTTAGGATAGTATGATCTTTATTTCCGAACTTTTGACATAAATACAAGAATGATACTAATAACATGCTACATTAAATGTTCTAGTAGAATTTACTTTATAGAGTTAATGCATATTAAGTTTTTGTCTGTCAACACATTGACAAATATAAGTACCAACCATTTGGAAGGCAGATTGAGTATGGGTTTCCCTGGAACCCTTGTGGGCAGTAACATGCATAGCTTCCTTCCAGATTCATGCAAATAGCATCAAGTCCACAAGGTTGCTTATCTCTAAACTCTGTACATTCATTAACATCTGAAATGTAGGAATAAATATACCAAAGGTTTTGATATGCATAAGAAAACTTGATATTCTAAAATAAAAAAATGTCTTTCGATTGGTAGCTTGTGTGATATTACATCACAATAAGACTAATAATAATTGTTATTGCATCTCTCTCTTTACTGGCTCTAAATACCAGCCTAAATTTTATATACTAAATCTTGTGTAGTACATTTAATTAAATAATCAAAATTTCCCTGTAAATATGAAACAACAATATTGGGATGAACCACAAAAAACGTTTTCACTTTAAAAATTCAAAATATTTTCAATGTTTCTCAGTGTAACAAAATGAAAAAGTTATTGTGTAAGTAATAACTTTTCAGTATTAATGTAAGAAAAGCAGTTCATTAAGTTTGTTTGTTTGTTTGTTTTTAATTATGCACAAAGCTACACAAGGGCTACTGTGCTCTGCCGACCACGAGTATTGAAACCCGGTTCATAGTGTTGTAAGTCCGAAGACATACCGCTGTGCCACTGGGGGCAGTTCATTAAGTACACTCTTACTTTATGCACTATTTCAACTAATACATATATATATATATATATATATATATATATATATCTACACTTAAAATACAAAATTTATAATAGTTCAATACTTTACAAAATTTCTACTTGCAGTTTTTCTGGCTGTTAAAGAATTATCTCTAAAACTTTTTTACAGCAGTAGCGAAAAGCAATATGTGTAAACATTTCCTCATGGAAAACAGAATCATACATTTATATCAAGAACTAGAAATCATAAAAAATTATCAGAGTTTAGTTCTTACCTCTACATTTTTGTGTAACAGGATTTATTACATAACCCCTTTTACACACACATTTTGGAAGGCTCTCTACAAGAACACATTCTTCCTTTGGCCCACAAGGTTTAGAAGCTGAGCAGGTACTGGTCATCTCTGTATAGTGTCAAAATATTTGTAAACATTTTGATTACAAAAGTACTCATTATTTGAAATGAAATATCAGTATGTAAGTCTGTAAACACAATAAATGTGAATAAATTGTCTTGTTAGCTTTATTCTCTGTTCTTACTTGCTTACTTTAGAAATATGTAATATGAAATATAGAATTTTTCAACCGATTTCCTTTGCATGATAACAAACATTAAACTTAAAGTTGGGAAAATATCTTTAACCACAGATGTATACTTACAATTATTGCTAAGATATAGAGAAAAAGTGTGAATTCTTTACCCATGTATATTGTACTGCATTAACCAAGAAGTGTTAAGAAATAATATTCATACGAAACAAAATATCATATCCTCTCTCTCTTACCACGAGAAAAACAATTCTGATATGGATCCCCAAAAAACCCTTGAGGACAAACACACTCAAATGATCCTGGCACATTGCGACAAACTGCTTCTCTTCCACAGGTATTTTCACTGGCACTGCATTCATCAATGTCTGAAAGAAAACATATGTTTAGAGTTTTTTCTATAGTTCTTTAGATCAATTTTTGGTATAACTTAGAAACAGAAACAATTTTGCTATTAAGCCTATTAAGCTGAAAAAAGTTCCATTTACTCTCTTTTTTTTATTTCCTCGATGTTTCATAAATTGAATTAGTTGATATTTATTTTCATGTTTAAGTGCCTTTTGAGAATTTTCTTGAGTTCTTTTGCATTCAAAATATCTATACCTACATCTCTTCCCAAATACATACAGGTTTATATACAAAACTTTGGTACTGATAACATCATTTTTCAGCTGACTTCCTAATGTTGGAGGTTGCCTCTTAAAACTAAATATTAATGATTTCATCAAACTCAGTTATATATTAAAAAAAGGCTTCCACTTGTTGAATTCTTCTTTTAGTTTATTTCATAATACATTTAATCTACTTAAAACACTAAATACTCAAGTATAAAAAAAAACAGCAACAGATATATCTATTTAGGATAGGCTTAAACTCATAATATTTTTATCATGATTACATACACACATGGTAGTTCAATTATGCTGTATTTTTGACTTACATTTAAAACTCTGAAACAAAAAGCAACTTTGTGCAACCTTACATTTTCAAAATAAACTAAACACACTAAAATTAATAACATTTCAAAATAAAGCCATTGTATTTCATCTATCTAATCAAGAATATACTTACCCAAACATCCTGGAAGACTGTTGCTTCGACCTGTATATCCTGGGGAACACACACAGATTGGATGGCCTGTAGGATCTAACTGGCATTTAGCACTGTCTACACAGAATATTGCATCACAAGGGTCTAAACGTAATAAAAAAATATGTAATTATTTTTCATTACAACTACCTAATATATCTAAAACTAAATGTTAACTTAGAATAATCGTAAAAATAAAACTTTTTTTTATAACAGAATACTGGGTGTCTTCATTTTCTATTTGTCTTGATTACCTATTTACACAAAAATTCGGTTAACAATTTATACTTTCATTTATTTCAGGATTAACAAATTCTAAGTTGAGCTGGATAAATCAAACCAGTTTCAGTATTATTCAGTATTGAATGAACATCTGCTACAATTGTTTTAACAATTTCTACAAAATCACAAATTTAAAGTACAAAGAATAATTCCAAACTTATTATAAAAATCCTTTATACATAGAAGTACTACAAATGAGGTTTACTTACGTTTACAATCATCTCCAAAATTAGGAGAAGGACAGAAACACCACTCATTCTGGCACAGTGCATTTCCTGGGCAATCAGTATTTTTCTCACAGCTAATTACAGGATAACCTGACAGACAAAAAGCTCTATTAAATGGAACAATATTCATAGGTTCTAAAAAAATAATTGAAAATAACTAAAAATATTTCAGTCATCAAATTATAAAATAAACAGACTATAACTAATATAGAATATTTTCAAATAAAAAATGTGGCTGCTGAATCTTGCCTTGGTTAATGTGGATGTGAGGGGGCTCAATGTAGATCAAAAATATATGTTACAAAAGACTGAAAGATGATTAGAATGTCTCTTCTGCATTTGTTGTTTATGGACTTAATAGGTGGCATAAGTACAGTGTTGTAGATCAAAACCTTCTTTAGTGAGTGTTGTTTTGCAGGATGTGAGCAGAAACAATTTGAATACAAAGTAAAAATTATAAATTAACATGTCTAAATAATAGTGGGGTAATGTTTTTATTTAGATGTGTTAATTTATCCTTTATTATCTTTAATCTGAATTATAGCTAACACAGTCAATTGTAAAAGTACATATTTGAGGAAAAACAAACTTACAAAACAATGAATTGCACATGTATATGGGCAGACCAATCAAAGTATTTTATGTAACTTCTGATAAAAGCAAACAACCTACATTTATTGGAACTTAAAATTAACTCAGTAAATAATGTAGCTAATTCAATATAGTGAACAAAAGGAAAGCTTATAATAAGAGTACATTGATTCCTTAGTTGGATTTCCTCACTGTTATGAAGGTTTTTGTTAGAACTGCTAGCATTAAAGCATTTAATGAACAGTTGACATTAATTATAAAACTTAAAAAAGCACACTTCAAAGAAATTCAAAGAAATAAACAATAAATTATTACACCTACAGCAAAACACATAATGATTACAATGTTCTTGTATTACTGAAAAAATAATAAAAAGATCAGATTGTAATCTGTGGGTTCAATACCACTATTATTAGCCTGTTTATGATAATAAATGTTTTTCATAGTTTTGGTAAATATATACATGGATGGCCAAATAATATATAATAATCTAATAAACTAACATTTCTTAAAAGGATCTCCTGTTGTCCCTGATGGACACCGACATTCAAAACTTCCTTCAGTATTAGTGCAGGTGGACGAAACACCACATCTTCCATTGGGTCCAAAGGCTTGGGAGCACTCATTAATGTCTGACAAAAAAAAATAGAGTGGAAGGTAATTTTTACTCCAGAACATGGTTACCTCCGTTTTCTGTTGTTGTTGGGTAAAATCACTCTTATAATGAAACTTTATAAATATCTTTTTTTTAGTTAATAAGTTCTCCCTAGAAATTTTAAAATCTGTTAAGTACTGTTTTTTAATTGTGTTAAGTTTTTCACCTAAATCCTTCCAACATAATTTGCTTGTTAGCACTTTCCTCTACAACTACACTTGTAACTATCATAGAGAAATTAAAGTTGTGAATTTCTATTACAACAAGATGAAAAGCTATAAGAAGAAAATATTTTCAAGATGAGGTTATTGTTTGAGAAAATTATTATTTTAAGACGAATCTTACAAAGTAAACATACTGCATCTTCTCCTCTGATTGGAATTCTGTCAAGAGAATCTTACCTTGACACCTAACTCGAGCATTTCCAGTATATCCTGGAGGACAAGAACATGAATATCCCCCAAGAGAGTTGTCACAGAGGGCTCCAGCTCCACACTGACCACTCACACCATATGCAGCATCACATTCGTTTATATCTGAAAATAAGGTTTAATTTCTAGTTTGTCATGTACATATAAGCTTTAGTTATTTTTTCTATTAATTTATTTAAGAAAATAATGTTTAGGGACATGAAAAGGACCTATTGGTCCATCTAGGCTGTCCCATCCTCTAAACTAAACTAAAACTGTTAAATAAAAAAACCTCAAAGCCAGTCCTTATCATTCATATAGTTATCAAGCTTTCTCTTAAACACACTTAAATTTACTGCCTCCACAACAACTGAAGGCAACCTATTTCAAAGGCCAACTACCCTGTTAGAAAAATAAAACAGTTTTAGCTGAAGATGACTCCTACCCTGCCAAAATTTATATTTGTGTCTCCTGGTCCTACCATTCTCACCATTACGTATGAAAAAATATGATGCATCAACCCAGTCAATTCCCTTAGCAATCTTAAACCCTTCAATCAGATCTCCTCTAACTATTCTTTTTTCAAGAGAAAATTTCAGAGATCTTAACCTCTCCTCGTATGACAACCCCTACATCTCGGGCACCATTCTAGTAGCCCTCCTCTTAACTCTTTCCAAAAATTCAATGTCCTTCCTAAAGTAAGGAGCCAAGACTGAACACAATACTCCAAGTGTGACATATACAATGAAGTTATAACTTCTTTAGACTTGCATTCAATATTTCTGTAGATACAACCTAAAATCCTATTTGCCTTACCACTAGTAATAGCACACTGCTTGGGTGGCTTAAGAGACTGATCAACCACTACACCAAGATCCCTTTCTTTAATAACACTGTTAAGGTTACTCCCATTCAAATTATACTTGTAATGCAAATTATGATAATTCACATGCATTATATTGTATTTATTATAATTAAAACCCATCTGCCAGTTATTCACCCAACTTACTAAATGATCTATATCTATTTGTAAAGAAGAAGTATCTTCCTCACAACCAGCAATACCGAAGACCTTTATTGCAATAATTATAAAGTGCAATTCAGTATTATGTAATAAACTGCAAAATTTAAATAAAATATACTTTTTACAGGCATAACATTGGTTTAAAAATGGGAAGATGGAAAAACAGTTGCTATACACTGTACAGAAACACACCCTACATGACTCTTGTGTAAATACCTCTGGCATTGGTTTCTGTCGGATCATACTGCAACTGATAAGAAATTTAGCCTATAATAAAATACTGCTGTTGAAATGTGAAGGGGATATACTCATCCTATCCTTTGCTTAAATTATGTCTATGATTTCCAACATCATCTGCAATCCTCTACCTTAAAAAGTTTTAGTTATCAAAGTTGGTGAATTTTAAAAGAAATACAATTTAGAATTTAGTCATTATTTGAACTATAAAAAGACCCTAATCAGATATGCTTAACAATAACAAATCCAACTCAAAACCTACAGTGTATACTATTCACAATTTTTTGGGGGTACACAAACAGATCATCAGTCAAAAACTCATCTAATTCTACAACAGAAATTTTTTTATGAACTATGTGCAGAAAATATTATTTTGGAATAATATAAATATATTGAATACACTAGTTCTAAAAATTTAGTCAATTAGATATATGCAAATATATTATTGAAATAATCATTTTTGGAAATTAAAGACAAAAATAACTTTTTAACATTTCTTAACTTTCATGTAAATTTACATTTTGTGTATTAATGAAACATCTTCATAAGATTAACAGAGACTATTGCAACAAAAGACCATGAACAAAACCTGTATCTCAATACCTTCACAATATCTAAATGGATCTCCAGTGAAGCCAGGAGGGCATGCACAGTTATAGCTGCCCAGTAAATTGGTACAGATTGCTCCTTGTCCACAAAGTCCAGATGGTCCATGAATACTGTCACACTCATTTACATCTTAATAAAACACAGTTTAACCACATATCATTTTTTATTCTTATGGTTACAAACAACAAATTCATATGGTATTACCATAGTAAGATGAAAAATTGCCTAAAGACTATATTAATGCCATAAAAACATGTTTTAATCATACAGCATGACTCTGATTTTTGCAACTGTATTTGGTAGTTATATACTGTGATGTAATTCACATTATCAGTGATTTATGCTAGTACTTTAAAATCTCACAGGATGACTTAAGGATACAAAATCAACCAATCAGCAATACCTATGACAGATCATTCCACATAGATATTTCAATGAAGTTTAATACCTTAATATAATATCACCTTCTAAGTATTGGTAAGCCATATTATATATGTTACCAATTTGTAGAATGATTAAGTACTTATGTTTGTTTTATAATTAAACATTATACTCTCTCTTTTTGTCTACTTTAAACATGCTGTTTATTTTTCTGGTAAATTTTCCTTTATTATTCAAGAGTATTACAGTAGTAATTGTTCCTGTATTAAGTTGTATATTACATACATCTAACCAATTATTTACATTTAGGATAAACTAAACAATATGAAAATATTTTCTCACAAGAGTTCCTGTGTATTTTAGTGCTATATCATGGAATGCTTTATAAAAATACATCTCATTGCCATACAAGTATTGCTGAAATTTATTAAACACAGAAAAAGTTCAATAACAACACCACATTGTAATTTTATTAAATTACTCCTACAGTATATTTGTACCAGTCATTTAAAATTACTGTATGAATCCTATAATTATTCTAAAATCCTATTGTGTGTTTGTATTATAACTGTATAAGTATTGTATGAATTTCACAGTAAATCTACAATGGTCATAACAGATTACTATAATAATCCTATGCAGAATTGGGAGAACTCTTATTAAATTATTTCAACAACATTCAGATATATAAATGAACATGTGAAAGTGCATATTTCTAGTTGTTCCCAATTTACTATAGAGATTCATTATTTTTACTTTAAAAGATGGGTTTTACAAAAGATAATGTTACAGTCAAATTATCACTAAAAAATATCAATAGCTTATGTCATATTATGAAATAAACAATAGATAAATAAAATACATTTGTTCTTTTACTTGTTTAACCAATGTTTTTCTGTGTTCAAAAACAGCTGGTAGAACACTGTTCAGAAAAATATATGAAAAAAGCATACCAATACAGCCAGCTTTTATGTCTGAAGGATCAAAGGTAAACCCACGATCACAAATGCAGTTGGCCTCTTGTCCATTGACTCGACATGTAGCATGGGGACCACAATCAATGCCATCACAAGGAGCTGATAGGTCAATCACCAGAATAATTTATTTAACAAATTTAAACTTTATTTGAAAAAAATATACAAAAATTATACAGAGAGAATATACATTAGCATTAAACCCTTAGCTGTATGTTGTTTATTTTTAACTTAACAAGGAAATATTAATAACAAATGAACTAAATAGCATATTACCAGAAGAAATCATCATTTCAAAAAAAAAAGTATGAACTTAAACAGTTCATTAAAATTATACTAGAATTTTTTCATGAGATTTATCCTAAAACTGCAAAGAAACTAAATAAGGAGAGATGCTGAGAGTTATAAAAAGTCATTTTTTCAAATGTCTCTGGGGAAAGGAAAATTTCTATTATTGAAAGAATGCTTAAATGATTCTTGTTTACAAATGAAATATTAAGGCAGAAACCGAAAATTTAAAGGCCTCTGAGTATGATTTCTGATTTGTTACAATGCTGGAATTCTTGTTAAGGTTCATTTTGAAATATTTTTTGAAAAACTGATAATTATCATTTGGACATTTTTTTGTCTTGATAACTTTGTAGAAATTTTTGATAATGCTTCTAATTTTTTAATTATTTTTTGAGTGAGAGCATTTTTTAAATTTCTGCTGAATGCTTTTGGCAAGATGTTGTACAAAAGACTAGTCAAGTTTTTATATTGTTTTTATAATATTGAAAAAAATGATCAAAATGTACTTAAGCCTTGCTTTATTGACAGGCAGAGAAGAGTGCAATGGAGTTTTTAAGAGTTGTGACTTTTGTAAATATTTTTATGTCTTTATTAACAGAATACATGAAACACATTTTATGTAAAGGAATGGCTATAGGATTAAAGAAATATCAATTTGAGTTATTGTGGAAAATGCCTTGAAATGCTCCCTCACTGTTTAATTCACACATCTTTCTGAGGTCAGTGAGCATTACAGAGGTAATCATCAGATGCAAATCTACTAAATAGTTTTTAAATTACCTTTTCACACACATCCAGGAGTAGTTCTGATTTTTGTCATACTCATTTCTGCATTTATGTTTTATGTATATATATGTTTTTATATAATTTGTGCAGTTGTTTAGTCCTATGCATTGCAAACAATAATAGGATAAAACATAAGAACTAGTATGGTGACTAAATGACTCGCAAGAATTCAACTCTTCTCAAAATATAGATTACTTACTTTCTTCTTTAAAAGTGTTACTAAAAAGTTTAACCTTAAGTAAAAGTCTAACTATTTTACATGAAATATGCAGTTTTCTGTAAGATACTGAAAATTTTTGTCATTTGCTTCCCAACTTTAAATGTGGTATATAAAAGAAATACCACAACAAATATTTTAGTTAAAAACAGACTGATATGTACACAGACAAGCAACTTTAGCATCACAAGTTGATACATTTGACATTAGCACCAGATGAGAATTTTCCATATACACACTCATGACATGTATTGAAATAGAAAAAAAATGTAGGTTACACCAAATGTTAAAGTTCACAGAGTTGTTTTCAAGGTACTATATTAGAAGGACAAATTCCCTATGAGTATTTTCTACAAGAGGAGTTATCCACAATAAATGGTTAAATGTTTTAGCTATTGGTCCATGCCTAAACAAAAAAAGGTACATTTAAAATCATATTTTAGAGAGAAACCAATTAAAATATTAGTGTAACCAGTTGAGTAATATCCAGTTCATACAGATAAGCTGTATAAGGAATTGTTACGACAGCGGAAGTCACGTGACGCTAATAACATGTCATGAGCTTCTAGAAAATTCATGTCCCTTCGTGAAGCCTCGAGTGTTTACTAGATTTTCGGTATTCTTATATATAAGACCACCAATAAGTGATGGCAACAATGTAATTGAATTGCAGACAGAGATAGAGATGACAATTGAGTCAAGCGCGTGAATTGTTCGTTCATTGTGAATTATAGCGTTTGTTTAAGTTATAGTGTGACTGTGGAAATTAAGTGTATTGCACCAGTTTTACTTAAGAAAGGACTTGTATCGCTAAAGTTTCTTCGGAAAGAATTTTTACGGAAAATTAACTAACGACCAGAGATGTAACAGAATGTTTAGGAATACTGCCAACTAAATATTATGCTACTTTAATATCTACTCATACACTGCCTACAGCTAGCATGAAAACATTTTGGATAAGTTAACAGTTTAAAAGCATAATACAAACTACACATCTTTTACATAAAATTCATATTTTGAGGCTTCTTAGATAATCTGGAAAAAATGTGTTTAAAATCATATATTCTTAGCATTTTTAATAAAAAATAGAGTTAAAATAATCAATCACAGTAAGCATTAACTTATACTTATTATGCAAATATTATATATATATATATGGAACCCATTCTATTATTTTAGGAATTTCAATGGAATACAAAATAATTTTTGAGCTCATTAATATAAAGATTCATCACACAAAGTATGCCAATCCACTAAATAAGTTTTTAAATTACCTTTGCATGGACTTTTGGAAGTGGGGCTGATTTTCACATACCCATTTCTACATTCACAACGGTAGTTACCCAAAGTGTTGCTACAAATAGCATTAAAGCCACACACATTTGGTATCTGACATTCATTGAAATCTGAAAATAGATAAAATATTATACATACTACATAATTTACTTCTTTATGCAAACATAACATTAATGAAAAATTAATATAACAATAATATTATATACATTGGCCTTCATAATTACATCAATCAAAAATAGTGAAGATAAATTAAAAGAAATTTGTTAAACATTAGCAATGTAAGTATGCTTCAGACTACATCTGATGATAAGAGGCCCAAGTTAGTTGAAAACTATTATAGGTGAAATGAATCTGAGTCTAGCATGTTAGAAAAAATATGGCTCATCACATTTTAACAATGTATCTCTGATTAATATGTATATATCAGATAACTTGATAATTTATCTGTATCACATTACTTGAGATATTTATAATATTTCCATTTACACAAACAAACATCATAACAATTAAGACAAAGTATCAATGAATGCCGAGATGAAAATTGTAAAATTTTACCAATACCATTTCTTACCAATTTAGCTAAGTATTAGGTTCATGTAGAACTATTTATATAGGGCTCAATCTGGTTTAATTCTAGAATAACTGGACCCCACCTGTTTATGAAATACATTTTACTAAACCATTTATGCACCAAAATTGCATTAGAGTCCATGACTTTATTGATTACAAGGTTCCTAATAACATACAAGTTACTAAAAAATACCATTGATATTTAAATTATTCCTGTTAACTGCTGCTGGTGTTCCCTATGTATTTTACATTAGATGAAATCTTCAGATACAACCAGTAATGTCAGATCATCCTATGATGTTTTTTTTTAATCTTGTATGTTGCTTAGATACTCTTTAAATGTCAGTTTAAGTAAATATCCAATGAATACAATAATAACAACAGAATTTTACAAACGAAGTTATAATGATTAACACCAGAATAATGTTCTTGTAATCTATCTTAGTGCTAATTTCATCAAATACATCCTAATATACTTGGTATCAAATTCAAAATGATGAAATTTATTTCATTAAACTTGATTCATGTTTTTAGGAATATTTCAAAGGTCACTGTCATGAAATTATAGTTAACTTTTAGTAAAGAAAAATATTTGCTTAATTATATCAAACTACACAACTACTGAAAAAGATATTTTGTATCTTTAAAATTATATAATAAAAACTTCTAAATTACCTCAAAAGGCATAAGAAATAAGAAGTCAGTCTGAGCTCCAGTTGTGTCACAAAACTTAATTTAATTTCTGCTTGAGATTGATCATTTAATTAATATTTGTATCATTTAACAAAAAATTATTTTATTTTACTTTCATATTAATTAAGTATTCTATTGTTAGATATAACTACGTCTACCTACAAATTAGCACAGAAGTGAAATTCAAGAATTGCAAAGTACTTTTTATAAAAACTTTGCTTCTTAAAATAGAAGTACACTAGCCCAGAAAGAGTTTTGCCCATTTTCAATAATTAAATTTATCATGTCTGAGTAATTATGTGTATGTCCTTCACAAAAGTACATAAACTGGCCTACATAAGTATTTGAAAACTGAATAATTATAATAATGAAATGAAATGCTACAACATGGTAGGTAACTTACCGACACATTCTATACCATTGATTCTATAACCTTTAGTGCATTCGCAATTCCTGTTCACACATTGTGCATTCTCAACACAATCGGTATCTTCCTGGCATCGCACTGTTACAGTTGCTAGAAACACACACCATAACGGGCATAACTTAAGTATATTTTAATTCACATACAAATAATGTATGTCAAAGCTCATGGTAACAAACATTAATATTGAACCTACATTCATCACATTTTCTTAATCAGTCTGACAACAATTCACTCTAATTTCACTACCAAACATTTGTATACATCTTGATTTCAATTATTTATAAGCCACATATAATTGCTTAATTACAAGAGACCTATGTGCAATAAATTTTTACTAAATTACCCCTTAAATTTAGGATGCAAAACACAAATAACTGACAATAAGTCAATAACTGAAATTATTATATGTAATGAATGATTTGATTGTGCAATCTTAGAAGGTATGTATTATCCTACAATTCCAATAACGTTCTTTTCTCCCATGTTGTTTACTACTATATATCTAGTTACAAATTTCTTCAAAATTATTTTTATTATAACAATTGTTTGTTTGAACTTAAGCACAAAGCTACACAATGGGCTATCCGTGCTTTGGCCACCACGGGTATCGAAACTCGGTTTCTAGCGTTGTAAGTCCGCAGACATACCGCTGTGCCACTGGTGGGCTATTAGAACAATACTTTAAACATGGTAGCAGACAACAAAGCCAAAAGAATTAAGTATATATTGTGCAAAAGATGGTAAGTACGAAAATAATAATAATTAATAGTAGAACTAACTAAATAACAACAACTGTAAGTAATTAATGACAATAATAAGAAAAGTATAAATTTAATAAAAGATAAATAAAACACTAAATATTGAACAAAGTTTTCATCTAGTATCTAAATGGGTTTTCTGTGTGCAATTAAGATTTATTTGCGAAGAAAACTTGAGACATATAAAATTAAAACTATACCAGAAAAACAAACCATTACAGCACAGAAATGCCTAAATGAATGTTAACTTAAATATTATTTCATGGAAATTGAAATTATCTTTATCTGCAAATGTATTCTCAACAGATACTCACCTCTTGACACCTTTAAGCTATCTTCTATGCGCGTCTGTCTTAGAGATTTACATGCCACTAGCCTTTAGCGATCATTTTTCGTGAATTGTGCTATTGCATAATGACATTTGCTCTCGTGAATCTTCACTCTTTGAAGAGGTAAGTAAGAAAATGTGCATCAGGAGTGGGTAGGATGGGTGGGTGGGAATTTATGTGAAGAAGTGAGTATCAATCAGAAATGCATTTTAAGGTAAGGAAAACGTTAACTTCCGAGACAATATCACACCTCTGCAAAAAGTTAAGTTAGAATTCCACGTTGAAGTGGTGAAGGGGCCAATGCAAACAATTACCTAAATTAATTCCTTTCAGAATGTGCCCCGAAGGAAGCCCATGGAGTGTGACACCCGAATGGCAAAGGCTCCATAGAGACACACCTGTTGGAGACTGCATCTCATCTCTACTAGGGTATACTCTTTGCCTGGGAATAAGGGAGGAAGAGGCAAACGAGTCCCATGTGTCACAGGGATAGGCAGAATAATACTCTGAGTATTTGCACACAAGAGATCAATGAGCTAATATGTGTATCATGGTTGGAGTGTGTTCAGACCATACCTTTGGTTCGCCGCAACTCTACTGTCAGACTTTACTGTACCAACATCAGCTGCAGAAGAAGGGTACAGTAGTCATGCCATAGAGAGTAGTATGGTGTGTGCACATTTCAACTCAAATAAACAGACATCACCTGTAGGAGAGAAGGACACAAGTGGCATGTGGTATAGCTATATGAGGGATGATCTGCACTGCACTGACAGTGTCACACCACTGCCTCACTTCCCACCATATTGGCACCCCTTGTTCTAGCCCCAGCTGTTAGATCGCAACTGGTGAAGATACTCCATGGTCCACCATCCCAGCAGCTAGGAACTGGTAAGTGGCAAAGGTCTCTCATGCTCCACTTGATGAAAAAAGAGAGGAGGAATTTGTAGCGGAAAGACTCATAGAAAATGCCCAGATCGCCATCTGTTCTTCAGTCCAGAAAGTTTTTACTGAATACAGTGCACTGAGTGATCATGTAATTCTATCTTAAAAAGGCAGCAAGCACGAGCCACTGGTGCAGGCAGAACACCCTCCCCCCAGTGCTGTTTTTTAAATGGTAAAATGGGTATGGTCTGGATTGGATAATAGACAGATATGTAGATACACCATTAAGGTACCTCAGGTGGTCTTGCAGAACACCCCATCTCACCGTGGGCATATAAGAAACCAAGGTAGATGTTATGAAAGTTTCCATTATCCTGGCTCATTGTGGATTTTGGGAAATAAGTATACCCTGGGAGGTACCACCAGCCACCTAACAAGTTCCCATAAGCAAATGTTGTAATAAAGACAAGATAAAGATACTCACCAGCCTAGAGACTGTGGGTACTCTATAGACTGATGAACAGAAGCAGGCAGTAACCTTTGAGAGATGAGACAGCCAGATGGTGAAGACAGTGGGCAACAAAGGTGTGAGGAGTAGGCCCCATGACCACCTGAAGGATCTTGTCTAGCGGCCATTGGAAATGCAAGGTGAGGAATTGAGTGAGGTGATGCATCTCATGGAATGAAATGTGAAACAGCCTGTGAGCATCAACCCTCAATGAGAAGCAGACTAAATGTAGTAGTCAGACCCAAACTGTAAGAGTAAAAGGACAAATGTCCCTGGAGGAAGAATAATACCAGGGAATGAAGAGTCAGTGATAGGAGCCTAGGAAGTATGAGGTATGAAATAAATAGCAATGAACGGCACAAACAAGGCACAATGGCCTATTCAGGTATGATTAATTGTAGAGAAATAGAAGGCAGTGAAATAGGAAAGAAAAGTAGTCACCTTCCCAAGTAGCCAATGTCTTAGGAAGGAAGGACTTGTCAGTATAAATAAGAATATAAAAGTGATGGAAGAGAGTAGAGGGAGAATTGATAGTATGAATATCCAAACATTGGTGACCACATGCAGAAAATAAGAGAAAATAGGTCTTGAGACAAAGATGGTATAAGGTGGCAGTTGCCAATAGTTCAAAAGGTTTATGAGTCAGAGTGAACAAATGACATTGAGGTCTCAATCAGGCATGGGAGCAGGGCGAGGAGGTCTATGGAGAAAAAATGAATGGAAGAAAGTAAAGAAAATTGGTAAGGAAAACACCTTGCAGTATTGAGAAAGGTAAAATGTGGTTGACTAGGCTGTGTGATAACAGGCAATAGTAGAGACAGCTATTCCATGGTAAAACAGCCAGGCAGAGAAAAGAGGAGAGATGGTTGGGAATAGCAGAAAGGAGATGTATGGACCAACAGCAAAAGAAAGGCCACTACATTTGTAGATGGATAAAGTGGAATGGAAACAGGAATGAGAAAGGAAAAAGGCTACACAATTGGAAAGTCTGGTTCTAAGGGCGACGGACCAAATAAAACCCAAATGTAAAGGAGGAGGGATGAGCTCCCTTGATGGAACAGTGACATGTGAGGTTGAAACAAGAGAGACTGTCAGAAGTTTGAGCACGTTGATATGGAGAGAGGATTCATCCTTGGTTCATGTGTCTCATGTGAAACTGTCGTTCAGAGATGATCCCCAACCAGAAAGGGAAACATCAGTGAAGAGGTGCAGGTCTGGTTTGGATGGAGGTAGTGGAACACAAATGGTGATATTGGATCAGTTGATCCACCAAGACATATTCTCAAGTAGAAGAAGGGATGAGTGAACCAGTGAGGTCAAAGGTTACCATGAGTGGTTCTATTGGTCATGTAAATACCACTTTAGAAGGTGAATATGTGCACGATCTAAAGGGATAAGCAGTTCCAGTGAAGCCATCGTTTCCAAAAGGATTATAACCTCTCACACAGTATGCGTAGGAGAGGTGCAAGTCCTAGTAACAAGGAGTTCCAAGGCTCGCAGACAGATGGGAGAAGGTTGAACATAGCTGAGAAAGAAGTTGAAGAACATGAAAAAACACTCCTAGGAGAACAAGATACTATGTGGGAATGAGGAAACACTGCCTCCTTGAGACATTGTAGATAGATGGGATCGGGTGAAAAATGAAAGGAAAGAGACGAGGGCTGAGAGGAGAAGGGGAAAAGACCTGGAGAGGAAGTCCATGAGTAAAGCTAGAGTAACCCATTTGTTTACAGAAAAATGTGACCACGGGATCTGAAAAGCTTGATGAGTTTGATGCCAGGTAGAAGAGGAAGGTCGTGAAATGGGAATCGAAACTAGATCGAGGTACAGAGGTGGAGGGTTGGGTTTGGGACATTCTGGAAACTAAGGATAAAAGTGAGGGTTGATGATGGGTAGCCTTCACCTGAATTCAAAAGAATCAGAAATACTCCAAAAAACTTCAGGGTGAAGAAAGGGGGCTAGGTGAAGATCTTTAGAAAAGAAGAAGGAAGTTGAACCTGAAAAAGGTGAGTATCCCTACAAAACAACTCCCAGGAACAATGGGCCAAGTGAATGGAGAAATGGCAAAAGAAGAAGAACAGGTTATTGAGAAGAAGGGAACAAGAATCGTCCAAAGCATCCTCTGGGGTATGGTGGAGTGCCTCAGATGTGAGGTGTAGAGAGGAGAGATAAATAAATATAGTAAGAAGGTCTAGACAAAGATGGGAGTATTGAGCACTGGATGGTGGAGCCGATGTCAAAGAGTCTACCCCCCCCCCCAAAAAAAAAGGCAAGAGAGATTCCAATTTTAGAGAATCAAGAAAGGGGAACTCAAAATGATTGTAAGCCACGATATAAGAATCAGATAGACGAGGATGAGGTCTGAGGTTACAGGAATGTAGTTGGCCAAGGTAAGATTCAGATTACAAATCCCATTAAATTGAAAAAGAAAAACACATCTGATGAGTGCAAATGTATAGTTACAGTTAGTGTGCTAAGAGGTGTGTCACCTCCTATTGGTAGAGAGCTTCTACTGCATAATGACATCATTATGCAGTAGCAAAATTCAAAAGAAATCTTTTGAGATTAGGTTGGAGTGCATTACAGGCTAGGGCGTAGAAATCTGTAAGGCAGATGAATAGGAAAATAACGTAACTGTGTGAAAAGGTGTGGTATCCATTCGGAAACTATTTTTTGTTTAATTAAAAACCTATTAGTTAAGTATATAGTAATTTTTCCTGTTTTTGAGGTAATTAGAAATTTCATTTTTGGTTTCTTTGGTTTGAAAATTATCAAGTTTTGAAGCACTGTACTTTATATTTTCACAAAAAGATATTACAGTATGAAAATTTATCCTACACTGTATCTTATATAATGCTGAAACTTCCATAAAACACTCACTTCGTATACAAGCAATGCCATCATATCCCTCATGGCACTCACACTTGTAGGTACCAGGAAGATTGTAACATTCAGCATGAGCACCACATGGAGACCGCTCACATTCGTCTACATCTGAAGGGAAAAAGTACAAGTGCAAAGACTGATATGTATGCTTTGTATGCATAAGTCTTTTTTGATAGTTATTCGAAATTTGTTGAGAAAATTATGTAATAATTACTTTATCGAATAAAGTCCAATTGCTAGATATAGTTTTTTTTATAATCTAAATATAACTGTTAACATATAATCAACAACTATATTGAAGGAAATAAAAACATCTAAAAAATTGTCAATATGATATACTATATATTTATTTTTTGATATGAAAAGTTAAAGCCCTATAACAAACTGTAGAAAATAACAACGAAATTTCAAAGAAACAATGTAAGACACAAACATAAAAAATGAGATGCATTATTAGTATATAATACAATATATAGTTAACAAGGAAAGTGAATGATGATACGTTAGTATTACGTTAGAAATCAGTATATCAATACATTATTTAAACAAAATAATAAGTTATGTACTGACATGTTAATGGTTAAGTAATAACTGTAGATATGCACACTGTGTAAAAACAAGAACCAATAATTTACCTTAGTTCAAAGATTTTAAAAGTTACAAACACTTTCTAACGTATGCACATCTTTCTTACCAAGACAAACCATATTAGGGTTTCCAGTGTAACCCAGTGGACAAGTACATTCATAAGAACCTGGCATATTGAAGCATTCGGCATTTTTTCCACAGGCATTTGGCTTGCTGCACTCATCTTCATCTGAAATATCAAGATTTGAATAAACTGTAATATCTTTCATGTAATTTGTACTCTAAAATCTATAGAGGACTAATTAAACGGAGTATGAAAAACAACAAAAAATATGTACATTAATAAAAGTAAAATAATTTAACAAGAAAAACCTCTTTTTTTTTCAAACATGAATAACAAAAGTTACCTCTGCAGCCTATTGAAGCATATGGATCACCAGTGTATCCTGGTTTGCAGTGACATTTGTAACTTCCTGGAGTGTTAATACAGTCGGTATTAGCACCACATGAGAATGGACACTCATTGACATCTGCATAGACAAGAAAAATAAAAATATTATTCAATATATTTAATTATACTTCCTGCACCAACATTCACACATTCATAAATTTGTGGGACAGAAGTCCATTGACAAGCAAATAATTTAAAAATGGAGAGGTATATGTGTTTTATTTTGACACAGACATTCTGACTAATGCAGTATTGTTTTTTCGTGTGTTTTTTTCATGTCTTCAGACAAAAAATGAAAAATAACATCATCATGGTATTTTTTTTCAAACACTTCATACTTTGTAGTTAGCATTAAGTTCATAGTCAAATCAATAATTCTTAATAAAGTTGTATTATATAAGTTATTAAATCTCACCATTACATCGAACTCTTGGATTTCCTGTGTACCCTGCTGGACATTGGCAGTAATAGCTCCCAATAGTATTAACACACCCAGCAAGTTGACCACAATGAAATTCTGAGTCCAGACATTCATCCACATCAACACAACCATCATCAGGTGTGGGATTACCACCATACCTGGAGGACAAGAACACTGATAGCCTCCATTGATGTTAGAACAGATGGCTCCTGAACCACAAGGATTGTGAATACACTCATCTAAATCTAAAATAAATCATGAAAACATTAATACAAAAGACACTAAACTATCAAAGATTTAAAAAAATATAGCAATTAACTTATTCTGACATTTCAAATGTGTGTTTGATTTTAGGAATAGAAAATTGTACAGAATTTCATTTATTTTACCCAGACATGTTTGATAAGGATCACCAGTAAATCCCTGTGGGCAGCGACATTCGTAACTTCCTGGGCTATTTTCACAGTGAGCTCTACTTCCACAAGAAGTAGGATCTAAACATTCATTAATGTCTGTAAAAAAGAGAAAA